GGTTGGGCTTGGTAATGTGGTATAGCAACGTGCAAAATATACCCTCTCAGTCATAGATGTCCAAGGGGAAGCTAAGTAATTGGACTGGTCTGAGAAGCTACCAGTCGGTCAAGGGATAGTCTGAACACCAAAACAATTTCATCTTAATTAGGTAGTTTTGGGGGCAAAGCTGCTACTCCTGCCGTCTTCCAATTCTGAGAAATGTTTTCTTTTTGAAATCGTCACGCCTCTAGTGGCTGTCAAACAGGGACATCAAAGTTAAAGAGATTCGATAACTGCATCTATTTTACATCCAGTTTTAGCATGCCAAGTATACTGATCTTAGATGCTGGATGTGCTCTATGAGAGGAGCTGATTTTATTGCTTTCTATAGTATAACAATGGATTGCTGCTTATATATCATTTGTTCACAATAGTTTGTACAGTGCTACGGAATCTGATGGCGCTATATAAATAATAAAATAATAAAAATAATATGAGAAGCATTAGACTGGACCAAAGTCATCAAGCTTAGGAGGAAGGCCTGGTCAGCTCTGAAGAGTTCATTTTGGCACTAGATTACAGGAATGTATAATTGTGTTTTAAAAATGTTGTTTTTTAAATTTATTTTATTTTATTTTTAATGGGGAGGCCCAATAATTTAATTTATTAAACAAACACACTGAATTAAAAAAAATTATATATTTTCTAACTAACTGATATTCTATTCAGCTTTCAACAATAGAAAGTAAACAATATAAATCAAGCTACCAGTAGCTCCTACGGTGTCTGCAGAGCCACGTTTTGTGTGGATTTACAAGATAAACAGAGCTACAGAGTTCACAGCAGAAGCTGCAAAGCCTATGGATTTACAGCAACTACAGAAACATCAAGTATATCTAAAGTATCCCTTTAAACATTGATTAACTGGACAGTGAATTTTAGGAGAAAGTTTAAACAAAGACACAGCCTGATAATTCTGTAACTGTACACATACTCCTTCAGGAAAATACCTGGCATTGCTCACTTGTCAACAAATCTCTGTCCTGGCTATCAGAGTCAGAAAACAATGTTTTAAGTTAAAGGGACACTCCAGAACCCCAAAGCTTACTGAAATGCTTTACGTGTGAAGAGTGTGTCCTCTTTTTTCATTTTTCAAAAATTGCAGATTTCAATAGAAATTAGCACTTTTATGAATCCACTTTGTTACACCACCTCCCCCGGCTGTCAATCAGACCACCAGTCATGTTACTTCCTGGTTTGTTTAGCTCAAAGAATTCTCATTAAGCTGCTTTGGGAAGTCTGAAATTAGACAGTCACAGAAAGTCTGGACAGGGAAAGAAAATAGGTAGTGGAGTGTCCCTTTAAACAAAGTGAATAGATCTGTGAACTATTATCAGCATTCTACCTCTCGCTATGATTCCTGTTTTAGTAAATATCTACAGTATTTATATAATGCATTAGTTTGCTATCATTGAATTTAATGATATTCTTAGAAGAAATGCAGGAGATTAAAATTGATAACGGAAACGTAAATGTTTACAATTTTGCGTACATTTAATAAAACTGGAGTTTACTCACTACACACAGCAAATGGTGAACTAAAGCAAAAAAAAATCGAGCTGGTTCAAGCTCAAAAGTTTTGACTCTAGCTCAGTTGCAGTTTTCCCAAATCTGATATTTTGGCGTAATTTTTGCAATCTGATATTCACTTCACTACAACTTGCTGTTTAGTAAATAAACCCCAACGACTTCATGCTCATTGTGTTACAAGAAAAAACAAATAAAAATTCTCAAAATAGTAAACTGACAGCAACAATCCATAGGGGAAATGATTGCGGTTTAAAGTATATCCATATTTATCTTACAGGTGTGCTTCAAATCCAAAAATCTTACTTTCCCTAGATAAGAATGCTTCTGCATAATCTGTAAGGTTTTTGTTTTTGAAACCGATGCCATTGTGTAGATCAGATCGCATAGAAGCTGTGCTCATAACACATGAACTGTGTCCGTATTAAACTAAGAAACAATTTAAAATAAGGAAAAGGGGAGGCGGGGACATGACAGATTTTGGGGATCCCTCCCGCCCCTGGTACACAGAGCTTGCAGAGCAGCTGTTTCGGAGGATGCAACGATTAGCGAACTAGTAATAAGCATGCAGCAGCTTGCAGGCATCCAGCGATGGATGTGGGTAATTATAAAGATCCCCCGGGAAAATAATGACACCAGACAGCCACATTTCTGCAAACCGCAGGGGCTTAATTAAAGCAGTGGGGGCATTTTATAATGAAGAGGGGGGGAAGTGAAGACAATTCGGGTTCAGATTGGGGAATTCGCACAATCATATGAAAGAGTTATAAAGTACACAGGGAAACGGTGAAATAATCTAGCTCTGTATCTAGACACATGTCGGATTACCAACCTGAAAAGTGATGACAATTGCAAAATTTAGGTCATAATATCAGATCTGGAAAAACTGCTGATTTTAGGATTTTTTTTTACCCCCAAATTCTGCTATTCTTGCCTACAATTTGCAATTCCCGTGTTAAATGAAATAAACCCCCTATTTAACCCCTTAAGGACCAAACTTCTGGAATAAAAGGGAACCATGACATGTCACACGTCATGTGTCCTTAAGTGCATCCTGTGTTAACGTGTGCAATAGGTTTTTTATTCTTTGCTAATATTATGGCAACTAACTATTTGCGCATAGAAAGAGTAATTGGAATGATTAAGTAATCCTATCCCGGAACTGCCTCTCTTAAACCCTGCTACTGTCCATTTCATACACCATGCAATGAAAGTATTTAACATGTTTTCATAGCCAGTCGGAGATTTCAGCAATGCTCATTCAGTATATTTAGAACAGCTGGGAGTCAGATAATAAAATCCTTTCCCTGCCAATGTATACAGATTTCGTAATGGAATAGGTGACAATACTTTGCCTGTCTGTAGCATCACGGGAATCATGGGTCTTGCAAAGAAAAATACAGAAGTAGTTTAGAGCAAGTTCTAGCAGCTACTTATTTTTGGAAATTGAACTTATCTTCTGACTGCAGACTGGTGCTGGGTTTCTTTGTAAGGTCTGGGGGATCTCCTGACGCCAGATAACAGGTCAGGCTCAGACAATGATGGATATATACACTAAGTAGGGGGAACTGCTGAGTGCAGATTATCGGGTCAGACCCAGGCAGTGCTGGGTTTATATGGAAAGTGGGTCGACTTGCTGACTGTAGATTATCAGGAAATGTTCAAACGGTGCTGGGTTTATATGTAAAACAGGGAGACCCGCTGATGATCATGTTAGACTCAGACAGTGCTGAGTTTCGGATGACTACCACACTCCTAAAAATTTATTCATAACCAATGGTAGCAGTCTCTTAAAGAATCTGACCAATATATATATATGGCATTGTTAAAATATGATTGTTGCCAGTGCCCAATAAAATAGACATATATCTTTGGAGATTATTATTATAATTATTTATAAAGTTCCAACAAATTCCACAGCGCTGGACAATGGGTGGACTATAAGGCAAGTGTTTTTAGCCAGTCGAATGAGCTTACATGCTAACGGGTTACTTGCTGTTTTACCGTTCAAAACATCGACTGCACTGCATACCTCCAAAGTGTCCCTATTTTAGGCTCATATTCTCCCGTCCATTTTTTCTGTCTCAATGTCCCTCTTTTCTAGGAGCTCCACATTGTTGGTGTGTCTGAGTGTATACCAGAGCTCCACAGCAATAATACTCACAGTAATGTTTCTTTAAATTACAATAAATGTGTTTAGAAATCAGTCGGTGTAGGGGGGGCGGGGCCTGACAGCCAAGATGGCCAGTCGCACATCCTAAGAGCTCCTGCTACAACCGGCATAAGTGAGCTAAAACCGAGCAACAGAAACATGTTAGCAGCACAGGGTGACCAGGAACAAACACAGAACACCATGCCAAACAAAACGGTACCTGTCCGGCACCAGTGCACTGCTGAAAAACCTCTACCGGCCATGCGGCCTAAATTAGAGAAAAGCCTGAGGCCCGGGAGAGGCGGCCGATCTCCCGGCACGGGTCAAGCTCACAAACAAGAGCCCACTACAGCCCTGCTGCCCCCCCCCCTCTGGACCGGCGGGGGACATCCCGGTCCTCGCTGGGGACGACTACCCCCACATCGCCCCCTGAACAAGCGACAAAACATGCAGCCAAACGGGAAAGACAGGACCTGGCCAAGATGGCGGCTCAGACACAGCCTATGACCAAGCGAACACCTACTAAGCCACCCAAGCACACATTAGAGTTTGTTAGCTGGCTAAGCACCTACCTCTGGGCAAAGTGTAAAGCCCAAAGACAGACTCACAAGCTAGCGATGAAAGAAGTGATGGCATGGATCCGCCCGGCTGCCCGGCGCCACCTGCAGGCGAACCCTCCTTGTAATTCCCGAGCGGCCCCACAACGGAAACAAAGCCGAAGCTCATCATGGCGGGAAACGGCGCCGGGGTCCTCGGATAGCACACACGACCCCATCCTCCAGATCGGGGCCTGCTGGCGCACCCAACCAACCTCCCACTCTGCGATACCAACAACCCTCAACCAGAAAAGCGCAACCCCGCACGCGAATACTCACAAAGCCGCCTGTGGCGCTGACCAGGACGCAGCGAGGCTGTTGGCTGGTGGGCGAAAATGGCGGACAGTCCCTCCACGGCCCACAGGAGAGGGAACCTCGAAGGGGCACATGTCCCGCCACGCTAGAAAAGGCATCGGGTGAAGAGAAACGGACTGATCCACACAGAGGCCCACGGCCTGCGACCCTGTTTGAGACGCAGGGATATTTACCCCATGCAGACGGAGACATAAAGTATCTCAGTTACCATCTCACCAAGGACTATGGACACTGAACAATGCTATGCTATCAGAAACACGGATTCAGCAAAAGTTGGTATCTTACAGACTAGCATAAAACACCTTAGTCCCACACTGGGGCAACCATGCTCGTCTGGATGGTCTCTCTCTTAAACCAGTCACACAAGGATAAATGTTGTGCCGGAGGCCAGTTCAAAGCCAGAGGTCCTCAGATTTACCTAGCCTGGTTAGGAAGCCCCCACTAGGCTCCTATTGAGCCACGTTGTTTTAATGTTCTTCAAGCTGTTTTGTTTCCCGTAGGGGTGCCTTACTTATCTTTGCCACATAACTTAGCCTCACAGAGACATTTACAACTTGCATTTAATAATAATTTTACTAGCATATTTTCCTAGCCTGCAATATAGTAACCTGGTACCCCAGATCAAGACATCCTTATCTAAGCTAGTGTGCCATATTAGTTATGAAACCGATTCATTTAAGCTTGCACATCACTTATTTTCTTAACTTCCCATGAAAGCATGTTATTAACTATCTCAACGTATTCATAAGAGAAAATCCCTTTACCTAAGCAGTTACAATGCCTACAACTTAGACACACCAGCTTGAAACAACACTCGACTGTCATATGCCTTGTCTATCATTGTTTGCATGTCACTTTTACTTTTATTTTTTTTAACTTAAAAATTGTGCACAGAACTTATTATGCCATGTTACCACTTGTTGATATACGGTCTTGCATTGCTATTGTGGCATGACAGACCCGACTGTTTATCCATGCACGAATAAAAATAAAGAATTAAAAAAAAAAGAAATCAGTCGGTGTAAATAAAAAAAACATTGTTCTTATTTTAAATTACATTTTAGCTGCATAAATTATTATTAGTAAGTCACCTAAAATTTCTCAAAACAGTCACACCCCTGGTCATTCCCACCTCCCTTACATCCCTAAAATGAAAGTGTTCCCCCTTGACTATTTAACCCCTTAAGGACACAACTTCTGGAAAAAAGGGAATCATGACGGAATATTTCCATCATGTGTCCTTAGGGGGTTAACATCTGGTGAGCTCTGGCATTGAATGGTTGTCAACAACTTGGGCAGCTGGCATACTTTACATTGAAGCACAGGCACACCCAGCAGAGGGTGATAAAAATACATGTATCTTTTTATCTTCATTCTGGGGTCACTGTTTTTTTAATATTCACCTCTATTAACAAAGCTAATGTTCATTTGTTTGTTTAAATAAAGTTTTAACGTAGTCTTCAGCTAATAGAGCGTCATGGGAGTTGTAGGTCAACAGATAGGATGCTTCTTATTAACGTTAACCAACCTTGCGCTCGTGTCTCCTTAACGTGGCGCTGTTGTAGCAGCGGAGGGGTTAATTGAATATGACTGATGAAAGCTGTAAGCAGACACGCAAAGTATTGTTCAGCTGGTCTCATTCTATCATGAATTAACAATGGGTATTTCCAGTCTACAATCCCTCTCTAAGGTCTGGAGATGTTATCTTCTGCTCTCTGTATCCTGTGGTAAGGTCCCAGGTGAGGTCCCACTGCTCATCAGTAGCTTCTTATCAGGGTAATCACTTCCAGGCCTATTTCTGGGCAATCTCTTATACAATCAATAGGGAAAATCTGAGGAGTCCATCATTTACTGTTTGCCAATCAAACCCTAAACCACATCAATACCTATATCGCTTCCATATCTTAGTTCATGAAATTAGGAGAAATAATATTTTTCGTCCTCAGCAGGTTCTGAATTGGTTTCATTTTACATCTGGCTTAAAATTTCATTATTTACGTGTGTCAGCATACAACAGGTCAGCAAATTATAAACAATGAGTACCCACACAGACAGAAAGGCAACAGTTTGGTTCATAGGCTTAAAGGGAAACTATCATGTTTCTGGACATTACACTATTAAATAAAAACATTGAAAATAGCCTACAGCTTGCATGTTAACTGTTTTATACAAAGCTCCTGTTTATTTTAAAAAAATATTAAAGAATTAGCAATTGACCCAGGGCTGGACTTCCCATTAGGCAGAGTAGGCACCTGCCTACAGGCTCAAGTCCTCTAGAGTGGACCTGTTTTCAGTGGTTACATCAGCCTTTTTGGAGCATAAAGCGACCATATAGGCACCCAGACCACTTCGATGTCCCTCTCGCTTAAACTCTGCAATGTTTTGATGTTCTGCAGGAAAGGCAATATTACATTGCAGGGTTTAAATGCCTTTGGTGGCAGTCATACTGACAGCCACTAGAGGCACTTGCACAGCAATAGCTGAAACTTAACTATTTCAATCAGATGGTCTCATAGAATGTTTTACCATGCATGCCCAGTAGCCTCCTAGTGGGAAAACGATGGATTGGCTGAGATCATCAAGGTTGACTCCTTATAGACAAAGAGATTCACTCTCTGTTCTCTGTACAATTCACCCCAGATGATTGGGGTTTCTACGGCAACATCTTCCTGGTCCAAAAAAAGTCGGGAGACTTTCGGCCAGTCATCAAGCTCCGCCGGCTCAAAGACTGTGTCGAGAATCCAATCACTCAAACAATTCTTTTACTTTGGCCTTTGTCAATGCAGGATGAACCCTTGTCCATTTTTGCTTGCTGTTGCCATTAAAAAAAACCTAAATGGATTCATTTGAATTCTATCTGGATTGGCCAGCTATCCCAGATAGGTCAGATCTGTCATGTATAGCCAAAAAATAATACATAATATTGTACCTAGTTACATTGTTCTCACATCTGTATAAGGGAATTGCTGGGGGCATCCATTGTACTTTTCTAGCGTGCCATTGGCAAGTTAAAAACAAGCCTATTGCTGTGATAACATTGCTTGTAAGGTAATTGGCTGCATGTAACCTGAGGCCTTCCTTCTCTGAATTTCTGAGTATATGTTGTAGCAGCTTGAATCAAAAGTAATACTGTGAAAACACAAATACAATTATATATTTATTTTTATAAATATCAATATTAGAACTTTTTCACAGAGTAGCCTTAGCTAAAAGTTCCCTTAAACAGTGTCTTTGGCACAAAATATCCCCCTTTCACATAATGTTCCTGTTAATTTATTGATTGTCTTTGTCTAGATAAGTCTTTATTTTTGAGGATGGAATTACCAGACACATAGTCTCACAATAGTAATGCAGAACTCACATCTTGTCATTGTCTTAAATCTTTACGATTTTCACTAACCTAACAAGCTGGTATAAAATAGAACCAATGACGTCCTTAAGGAAGAGGTCTAGAGAGGAAAGACGAGAAACAAAGGGAAAAAAGGAGCTAATTCTCGCTCTCTTTGTTTAGAATTAATACTACAAAATAAAGTAGACAAGTATGACTTGCAGACATTTCCAGCATCTTGCAGTGAAGAGACCCCGACTTTATGAAAGGAACTGTTTTTTTTTTTTTTTCAAGCATGCATAATTTTAAGAAAAATCAATGGCCGTGAAGGAGGATTCCAGTGCCATCAAGCCTAGTGACCAAAGTCTACTTCCAGATATGCTTTCCAAACTTTTGAGCCCTTCTTTTGCCTTAGAAATTAAGTAGCTAGATCAATACATCCACAGGTGACATACTTTCCGCAGGTGATATTGCTTGGGTTAGTGTGTGAACTAATAGATACCCTTTTTTTATTCCTTAAAAAAAGGATAGAAGGGCTGCACCACAGAAAATAACAATATTAAAAGACAATCGGAAATGACAAATATAAGACAAGTATTTTGGAAATATAAAATATATAGTACAACAATAAAAGTTCTCACATAAAAAGGATGCCTCTAACAGAGGTAAGTTCAGCTGTGGGTGCTTGATAAAGCGTAAGTTCTTTAGACTTGGGTGGGGGGGGGTCTTGAAGTTGCTCGGGTAACAGCGTTGGTGGTATGATCCTCACCTGGAATTTCTTGGGAGTAGAAGTGGTAAAATATAAATTGCCAGGAAGTATGAAATATAAAATATCAAATAAAAAGGTAATTGGCACAGTATGGAAGTGCAGTGACCAAAAATCCTTTATTGATAAAATTATAAAATAATACCATCCATAACGGGTTTCGCCAATGTGGCTTTTTCACATGGAGTACAAACAGGTGACATTGCCTGGGTTAGTGTGTCCAAAACATAGAGAAGTAGATACCCTTTTTTATTTCCTACAACACCGATGAACCCGTACGATGCAGATGTGTGCTAATGGAATGTACCATCTCAAAAGCATTGTGTAACTTTTTTTTTTTTCTTTAATGAAAGAAACCAACATTTTGTCCTATTATTCTCAAATACAGTATGTAGAAATTAAACCTCCCCACAATGAAATATGCAGGTAAGAGGGTTTTACATGTGGGGTGTTAGAACATAGATGCTGGTACAGTGATGGAATAAGGGCCTTCTCAAACAAGCCTCAACAGAGTGCTGCTTTAAATAATTATCTATAGCTGAATAGTCTGCGATAACTCTCAAGAAACACTCCACGTGAACTGGTTAAATTACGCCACTACTGTTAAGTTAAAGGAACACTCCAGACCCATAAAAGCAATTTAGCCTGCTGAAGTGTTTTATTTTTATTTATTTTTTAATTCTTTATTTTTCTTGTGCAAAAGATTGATATACATGCATACAATGCCACAATAGCGCGTATATGCATTACACCATTAATAATAGTGTGGCATAAGTTAGAATTGCACATTTTTAAAGTATAAGACAATCTTATGCATATTATGTTTGTAAATGAGAAAATAGAAATGGTAGGCATGTCAAGTTAAGTATACTGACATACTAGTAAATCACAAAGATAAGATGTGAGATAGGCTTCTTTCTGAGAATTACTGAGCATGTTAGAAATGCTGCACTTTTTAGAAAAGAAAATATTAAAGAAAATACGCTAATAAACAAAGATAGTAACATGAGGATTTCCCAGCCTTGGATCCCGCAATAGTATGAAGGTGAGTGAAGCCTTGAAATCTGCTATCCTCATTGTAATCAGGCATTGCATGAGGGAATAAGAGTAGAGGCCTCCTGGATGCCATTCAGCCTATTCTTGTCAGAGGTAGGATTAACCCACAGTATGGCAGTGTGCAAATGGCTCCGTGCGTCAGGTGGCAGTGCCATGCTTTCCACAATCCAACCAGCATCAGCCCATTCAAAGAACACTGATTGTGAGTTGCAGTGGAACTGCCATGGAATAGATCTAGGTGCTGATTTTCTTGGGTGGCGCAGTTGTGGTCTGCGTCGTCTGGGGCTGGCCGCTGTAGGGCTCAGAGCCACTCGGGAGTCCTGAAATCCACAGTGTACCTTCGCAGGTGATTTAGGTAGTGGAGCTTGTTGGGTAGTCAGGAGGTACCTGTGCCACAGCTTCATCCAGAACAGGTCAAAGATGGTGTCCAGCTGAGACC